GAGTCTACGGGCCTTGTTTGAGCGTTGGCACGCGGGCTCAGACTCAGGCTTGTTAGTAGGATCAGAGTGCAGAGTCCACAGGTGTTGCAACAGCAGATCAAGACTTGTAGCGAAGTCACGACATCATTTACACTAGTGACCGAATTTGAGGTTGCATGCAGGCCAGTCATCAGATTTACACTGGTGCCGGCTCGCAAAAAAGTGGGCTGCGCCCCAGAAATACTGAACGTGCTGATGGTGGAAGGATTTGAAGCGTCCTCATTGATTGCTAATCCTGCGAGCAGTTGGCTGTGTATGCTCGTTGCGCTGGTTCTTGCTGCATCCTGAGTGGCGGATCGCAAGCTCAGACTTATGCTTGTTTGTGGCAGCAGAGCTTGAAGCAGATAATGTCCAGGTCTGACGTAGCTGTCAGGTTCAGTCATCAACTAATACTGGAAGGCTTGCGCGCAGAGCGCTTAAACTCACAGGTCTTGATGTTTCTTTCTGAGAAGTTGAGCAGGGGGCAGCGCAGAGCTCTTCGAGCCCGTAGCCTGCTCCTAGACGTGCTCGCATAAAGCTTGCGGGGCTGCTTTGCGAGCTGACTGTAGGGGCGAGGATGGCCAGGTTGAAGTCCAAGGCGTTGGCTTCGTGACGTAAGTTGCAGTCAGCCGCTCTCAGAAAATCGGTTTAGACATTGGAATTGCAAAACGGGCGACGCCCACTTCGCCTTCGCTCAAGTCAGGTTCGCGGCAGAGGTGCAAGTTGGCCATGGGGCCTGCTGAGTTGCAGGGCCCGTGGGTGTGCTTTGCAGCGTTTTGCCCTGAAGCGTTTGGCGTCAGCCCTGCAGGCATGGAAGCAAATGCAAGCTCCTTGATCCAAGCAGAAAGCAACTGCAAATCAATGCACGCAGACACACACACACACACCATTCTCCACCAGTCCCCTAAGCATATCACCACCGCTGCAGTCACAACTCAACTTGCGACAAGCCCGCCACTTCGCCTAATGCACAAGCTGCGGATAGACAACGAGGCACGAAGCGCTTTGCAAATGTTTACATCCGCAGCTGTTCTGCTGAGATTGCTGATTTTCTTTGGGATTGGGGTTATCAATCCCGCGGCGTTTCCACAGCTGCAGCAAGGAGCTCACTTTGCCCAAGGCCAGGCGTCAGAGCTTCGGAGCCAGGGATTGACATCTTTGACCCTGCTTCAGGGTGTCGAAAGGTTCTTAAGTTTGGACGCAAGACGTGCTTGCGCGATTGCGGAATGCTGCAACTTGAGCTTCTGGACGTGGCTTCCATGGACAACGCGCGCTGGCAGAAATTGCAGAGATGCGCGGCGCTGGTCACACGCTACACTCTGAAAAGGATCGCTTTGCAGAGATCCTCACTTGCCTGCCAAAGCTACTCTGACTGGCTGACTCTCAAGCCAACAACAGCTACAAAAACAACCTGTGACCACCAGCTATCGGGCCTATCGCAACGCGTGTTGCCAGCAGGGTCGCAACTTGCCGGCTAAGTGAAGTGTGGCCGAGTTGGGGGGCCAGGCAAGCCTTTGCTGAGGTACTGCAACTGCAAGGGTGCTTGCGCCAAGCGCGTTGCCAATTCGGAGCAAAGAAAGTGATAGCCCCCCAAGGCGTCTTAAGCTTCTAGCTGTTCTGACTAGCTTTGACTGGCTGTTTCTGTGGGCAAAACTCACTGAGGAGGCAATGTGTGTTGACGGACAGCACGCAAGCGCTGCGAGGCTTGTGCTGCGATCTGACGAATCGAGCAAGGTTGTCAGCCTGACGGCTGCCTTGGCTCGCGTTAGCAAAACGCGAGCTGTTGTTCCTTATTGCTTCGCAAAAGCAAGCGGTGTTTTGCGCCCGGATGCAAGATGCCTTTGAGTGTTTGCGCAATGCTGCAACTTGAGCTTCTGGACGTAGCTGTAGCTGCCGTGGAAAACGCGCGCTGGCAAAAACTGCAGAGATGCGCGGCGCTGGTCACACGCTACACTCTGAAAGGGATCGCTTTGCAGAGAACCTCACTTGCCTGCCAAAGCCACTTTGACTGAAGCCAACAACAGCTACAAAGACAGCCTGTGACCACCAGCTATCGGGCCTATCGCAACGCGTGTTGCCAGCAGGGTCGCAACTTGCCGGCTAAGTGAAGTGCGGCCGAGTTGGGGGGCCAGGCAAGCCTTTGCTGAGGTACTGCAACTGCAAGGGTGCTTGCGCCAAGCGCGTTGCCAATTTGGAGCAAAGAAAGTGATAGCCCCCCAAGGCGTCTTAAGCTTCTAGCTGTTCTGACTAGCTTTGACTGGCTGTTTCTGTGGGCAAAACTCACTGAGGAGGCAATGTGTGTTGACGGACAGCACGCAAGCGCTGCGAGGCTTGTGCTGCAATCTGACGAATCGAGCAAGGTTGTCAGCCTGACGGCTGCCTTGGCTCGCGTTAGCAAAACGCGAGCTGTTGTTCCTTATTGCTTCGCAAAAGCAAGCGGTGTTTTGCGCCCGGATGCAAGATGCCTTTGAGTGTTTGCGCAATGCTGCAACTTGAGCTTCTGGACGTAGCTGTAGCTGCCGTGGAAAACGCGCGCTGGCAAAAACTGCAGAGATGCGCGGCGCTGGTCACACGCTACACTCTGAAAGGGATCGCTTTGCAGAGAACCTCACTTGCCTGCCAAAGCCACTTTGACTGGCTGACTCTGAAGCCAACAACAGCTACAAAGACAGCCTGTGACCACCAGCTATCGGGCCTATCGCAACGCGTGTTGCCAGCAGGGTCGCAACTTGCCGGCTAAGTGAAGTGTGGCCGAGTTGGGGGGCCAGGCAAGCCTTTGCTGAGGTACTGCAACTGCAAGGGTGCTTGCGCCAAGCGCCTTGCCAATTCGGAGCAAAGAAAGTGATAGCCCCCCAAGGCGTCTTAAGCTTCTAGCTGTTCTGACTAGCTTTGACTGGCTGTTTCTGTGGGCAAAACTCACTGAGGAGGCAATGTGTGTTGACGGACAGCACGCAAGCGCTGCGGGGCTTGTGCTGCAATCTGACGAATCGAGCATGGTTGTCAGCCTGACGGCTGCTTTGGCTCGCGTTAGCAAAACGCGAGCTGTTGTTCCTTATTGCTTCGCAAAAGCAAGCGGTGTTTTGCGCCCGGATGCAAGATGCCTTTGAGTGTTTGCGCAATGCTGCAGCTTGAGCTTCTGGACGTAGCTGTAGCTGCCGTGGAAAACGCGCGCTGGCAAAAACTGCAGAGATGCGCGGCGCTGGTCACACGCTACACTCTGAAAGGGATCGCTTTGCAGAGAACCTCACTTGCCTGCCAAAGCCACTTTGACTGGCTGACTCTGAAGCCAACAACAGCTACAAAGACAGCCTGTGACCACCAGCTATCGGGCCTATCGCAACGCGTGTTGCCAGCAGGGTCGCAACTTGCCGGCTAAGTGAAGTGTGGCCGAGTTGGGGGGCCAGGCAAGCCTTTGCTGAGGTACTGCAACTGCAAGGGTGCTTGCGCCAAGCGCCTTGCCAATTCGGAGCAAAGAAAGTGATAGCCCCCCAAGGCGTCTTAAGCTTCTAGCTGTTCTGACTAGCTTTGACTGGCTGTTTCTGTGGGCAAAACTCACTGAGGAGGCAATGTGTGTTGACGGACAGCACGCAAGCGCTGCGATGCTTGTGCTGCAATCTGACGAATCGAGCAAGGTTAGCAGCATAAGAGTTTTGATCCGTGCATTGTTTTTGTAGAAAGCAAAGCTTAAGTCTTTTCTGCAGTGCCAAGCGAGTGTCAGCAAACATATGCAGGCAGCCGTTTGACCGATTGCTTGCGGGGCCATGGCATTTTACAGATCCCACTTGCGTTGATGCCCATCTTTGCTGCCTGTCGTGGTTTTTGCTGGGGAGGGCGAGGAAAAAGTTGGTGGCAAACAAATACTCGCTTGCTGTCCGTTCCACACTGTGGCCGCTTGCTGCCCATGTTCAGCCTAGCCCAGCTCGAGTCGTCTCCGCCAGAGCAAAACTGGGCAAGACGGTAAACTACCTTGAGCAAGATCGTAAGACTCTTTGCTAGTCCAATTAGTTGTGCATGTGCTGAGCTGCTAAGCCGTGCTTGCTTTGTTGCAGGATGTGCCGGGTGATGAAATATGCATCGAGCAGACTGGCCCTGGACATGATCAACGGAATCTGCTAAGACACATTCGACGAGCGCAAGGCTCGCAATTTCTGTATGGCGTCCAAGCGGGCAGAAGGAGGCTCCAAGGTGCATTGGGGCCATGAACAGGCGGCGTCGCAGTGCAGCACGGCTAGTTTTGCTCAAGCAATTGCGAATTGCCCTTTCAGCTATGCCGTCGATGCGCGCATAGCGCACAGTCGCAGTTGGCCAAATTAGTGCGACGGCGACAACGACTTTTCACAAGGTGTTGTCGCACGCGCTGGACAGAGCCAGGCCATGGGTAAGCCTTTGCAGTCTTGACCAGGCGTACGCGGCTGATGCGAGCAAGGTGTGCGACTGTTGTTGTGCCGGAGGCGCGCTTTTGGTGATGGCGCTGTAGGAGATACATCCGCTGAGGGAAGCAGCGCAGCCTCAAATTGCTGGAGAAGCAATGCAAGTGAGCTGTTTTTTCTTGATTTGACCCTAAGCTGGGAGGCGTGCTTAATGCGCAAGGTGCTGCTCCGTTGGAAAGGGCCTGCAGCACAACGACACGCAGCCCGGCCTAGCAAGGGCTGTGAAAGGGTGTCCCAAGTTGCTAGCTTTTGCATTCTCATTTTTGCCAGCTGACCCCAGGGCCAGTGTCAATTGCAGAGCTGACCACTGTCGACGGCCAGGAGAGTGGCCAGCTGACAGGTCTGTCGCAGCTTTTGCTGGGGCAGACATGGGTTCCTCCGTTCTTGCTCGTGCGTGCGCCATGGAACTGCGTGGCTGCGTTGCCCAAAGTGATGAGCGCAGGGCCCGAAACTGGTTTCAGCCCAGCTTGAAGTTTTGCTGGCGCCAAGCACACTTTGCCGAAACTCGGACTGCGACCGGCACTCGCATTGGGACTCTAAGCAGCGGCTGAAATGTTCCGTCCAGCTGGCTTCCACAGCGGGCAGAAAGAGGCTCCAAGGTGCAATCAATGGGGCCACGCACAGGTGGCGTCACACCGCAGCACGGCTAGTCAGGCGCCAAGTTTTGCTCAAGCAATTGCCCTTGCGGCCAAATTAGTGCGACAGCGCCAACGACTTTTCACAAGCTGTTGCCGAGCACGCTGGACAGAGCCAGGAGCATGGGTGAGCCTTTGCAGTCTTGACCAGGCGTACGCGGCTGATGTGGCGTGCGACTGTTGTTGTGCCGGGGGCGCGCTTTTGGTGATGGCGCTGTAGGAGATACATCCGCTGAGGGAAGCAGCGCAGCCTCAAATTGCTGGAGAAGCAATGCAAGTGAGCTGTTTTTTCTTGATTTGACCCTAAGCTGGGAGGCGTGCTTAATGCGCAAGGTGCTGCTCCGTTGGAAAGGGCCTGCAGCACAACGACACGCAGCCCGGCCTAGCAAGGGCTGCGAAAGGGTGTCCCAAGTTGCTAGCTTTTGCATTCTCATTTTTGCCAGCTGACCCCAGGGCCAGTGTCAATTGCAGAGCTGACCACTGTCGACGGCCAGGAGAGTGGCCAGCTGACAGGTCTGTCGCAGCTTTTGCTGGGGCAGACATGGGTTCCTCCGTTCTTTCTCGTGCGTGCGCCATAGAACTGCGTGGCTGCGTTGCCCAAAGTGATGAGCGCAGGGCCCGAAACTGGTTTCAGCCCAGCTTGAAGTTTTGCTGGCGCCAAGCACACTTTGCCGAAACTCGGACTGCGACCGGCACTCGCATTGGGACTCTGGGCAGCGGCTGAAATGTTCCGTCCAGCTGGCTTCCACAGCGGGCAAAAGGAGGCTCCAAGGTGCAATCAATGGGGCCATGCACAGGTGGCGTCACACCGCAGCACGGCTAGTCAGGCGCCAAGTTTTGCTCAAGCAATTGCCCTTGCGGCCAAATTAGTGCGACAGCGCCAACAACTTTGACAAGCTGTTGTCGAGCACGCTGGACAGAGCCAGGAGCATGGGTGAGCCTTTGCAGTCTCGAAAGGGCGTGCGCGGCTGATGTGGCGTGCGACTGTTGTTGTCCCGGGGGCGCGCTTTTGGTGATGGCGCTGTAGGAGATACATCCGCTGAGGGAAGCAGCGCAGCCTCAAATTGCTGGAGAAGCAATGCAAGTGAGCTGTTTTTTCTTGATTTGACCCTAAGCTGGGAGGCGTGCTTAATGCGCAAGGTGCTGCTCCGTTGGAAAGGGCCTGCAGCACAACGACACGCAGCCCGGCCTAGCAAGGGCTGTGAAAGGGTGTCCCAAGTTGCTAGCTTTTGCATTTTCATTTTTGCCAGCTGACCCCAGGGCCAGTGTCAATTGCAGAGCTGACCACTGTCGACGGCCAGGAGAGTGGCCAGCTGACAGGTCTGTCGCAGCTTTTGCTGGGGCAGACATGGGTTCCTCCGTTCTTTCTCGTGCGTGCGCAATGGATTTGCGTGGCTGCGTTGCCCAAAGTGATGAGCGCAGGGCCCGAAACTAGTTTCAGCCCAGCTTGAAGTTTTGCTGGCGCCAAGCACACTTTGCCGAAACTCGGACTGCGACCGGCACTCGCATTGGGACTCTGGGCAGCGGCTGAAATGTTCCGTCCAGCTGGCTTCCACAGCGGGCAGAAGGAGGCTCCAAGGTGCAATCAATGGGGCCATGCACAGGTGGCGTCACACCGCAGCACGGCTAGTCAGGCGCCAAGTTTTGCTCAAGCAATTGCCCTTGCGATTAGTGCGACAGCGCCAACAACTTTGACAAGCTGTTGTCGAGCACGCTGGACAGAGCCAGGAGCATGGGTGAGCCTTTGCAGTCTCGAAAGGGCGTGCGCGGCTGATGTGGCGTGCGACTGTTGTTGTGCCGCTTTTTTGAGAAGCAATGCGTTGAAAATTGAGCTTCTTTTCTTGATGAGACCCCAAGCTGGGAGGTGTGCTTCTTATTTGCAAGGTGCTGCTTCTTGCAAAGTCAGGCACTGATGAGCAGCCAAAATCAGTGACACGGTCATCATGTTCGTTCCCACATACAGTAAAACAAGTGATTGCTCGGGCAACAGTCATGATTCCCTGCAGCTGCTGCCCTTATTCGCTGAGACTGGCCGCGCTGCCGGTTTTAGCTCCAATGTGCATTGACGACCAGCTAGCTTGCCTGTGGCAGTTCATTTTGCCGCTTAAAGAGCGCATTCCGTGTCCAGCTAGTTACTGGACTCGCGTGCAACAGGAAACATGCACACAGTGTGTGTGTGTGTGTGGGCAAGTGTCGCTCAAGTTTGAGCTTGCTCTGATTGCCCAGGCCAGGGTGCTTGGTGGCAGTGATGGGGACGCTTGGAACGATGGAAATGGCCGGGATGATGGAAGCAGATTTGTTTGCGCGTTTCACCAAGCCAAACGCGGCCGCAGTGCGCTGGAAGTGTCCAGTTGCAAGGCCCATAGTCGAGCGGTGTTCGATGTCATGGCCGATGTCTCCTGACAGGCAAAGCCGCCAAGTGCAGCTATTCAGCAAATGGTTGCTGATGGCGCCACACTTGAGGTTCTTCACGCGGGCGCCATGGGACTGCCTGGCTGCGTTGCCCAAAGTGATGAGGGCAGGCCCGAAACTGGTTCCCAGCTTGAAGTTTTGCTGGCGCAAAATTGGCACTACTCTGGTCAGCGGCTGAAATGTTCCGTCCAGCTGGCTTCCACAGCGGGCAGAAGGAGGCTCCAAGGTGCAATCAATGGGGCCATGCACAGGTGGCGTCACACCGCAGCACGGCTAGTCAGGCGCCAAGTTTTGCTCAAGCAATTGCCCTTGCGGCCAAATTAGTGCGACAGCGCCAACAACTTTGACAAGCTGTTGTCGAGCGCACTGGACAGAGCCAGGCGCATGGGTGAGCCTTTGCAGTCTTGACCAGGGGTGCGTGGCTGATGTGGCGTGCGACTGTTGTTGTTGAAAAGCAACGCGTTGAACACTTTTCTTGATGAGGCCCTAAGCTGGGAGGCGTGCTTCGGTGGGAGTGATGGGGATGCTTGGAACAATGGAAATGGCTGGGATGATGGAAGCAGATTTGTTTGCACGTTGCACCAAGCCAAACGCGGCCGCAGTGCGCTGGAAGTGTCCAGTTGCAAGGCCCATGGTCGAGCGGTGTTCAATGTCATGCCCGATGTCTCTTGATAGGCGAAGCTGTGGGGCTTGCTATTGATGGCCTTGTGCGCCGCAGTCAGGGTGCCAGAGTTGGTCAAGCAAAGTTCTGCTGTCAAGTGGCCCCTCATGCGCTAGATCAACACCTACTTGGGCCGCTGCTTTCCGAGAACGACCGTCAAGGCTTGGCCAAGACTGGCCTTTGCCGAGGCAGCTATTCAGGAAATGGTTGCTGGTAGTATGGCGTGCTTGACATGCAAGCGCTTGCGCACGAGGACATCCCCTTGCGTCACAGTACTGATGCGAGCTTTGAGAGCGGGGCACATGGCAACAGAGCGTGCAAATAGCGCAGTAGCGGCAAGACAGAATGAAGATGATTGTCCTGCTGGTTCATGTTTGTGTCTTTCTGGTGTGCCTGGCATGTCCATTAGACGATGTGAATGTTGCAGAGTTGGCAGAGTTGGGTCCCCGCTCTGTTCACCGAAGTGCCGTGCATCGCATGAGAGCATCGTTGAGTTGCTTAGTCACCCCTGCCCCCGATGGGTGTGTAAGCGTGTGTGCGCGTGCTTTTGCGGGTGCTCGCGCGTGGGTGTGAGTGCGTGCGGGCCTGTGTGTTTGTCTGTGTGTTTGGGTTTGGGCTTGGGTTTGGGTTTGTGTTTGTGCTTTTGTTTGTGTGTGTTTTGTTTGTGTGTGTGTCTGTGTGTTTTTGTGCTTGTGGGTGCTTTTTGTTTGTGTTTGTGTTTTGCGTGTTTGTGTGTGTGTGTGTGTTTGCGCTTGTGCTTGTGCTTGTGCGTGTGGTACTTTGTACTGAGTACAATACGACGGGTGAGAGGAAAAAACATTGTTTGTTGGGAGAAATGTATTTGACCTCCTTCTGTCAAGTTTTTGTTCATGGAAAGTCTTCCCCATCTAAATCGTCTATGTTCGATGTGATGCTAATTTAACAGCACCTCATGTGTGGAAAGCAGTTCCGATGTTAAAATCTCATTCAACAACGCATTGAGTTCTCCCCTCCTCAAGCTTTATGTGAATGCTGACCAAAGTTTAGTTGGAATCCAGCTTGGCATGAGGAGCTCAATCTTGAGGAAGCCAAAACAGAACAACAATTGTGACAGAACTATAGCTTGTTCTGTGAGAAATAACTTCGGCGTTGTATTGTAAATGCTCCACGCTCGCTGCCCCCCCAGGCCAGGGCTTGTTTGATTTCGAGGCTTCCGTTGATCTCTTTTCTTTTTCCTGGGGCCGGCGTGGGGAAGCTGAAAGTGCCAATTGCGTGAAAGCGCTTGGTGCAGCCACAGCCATATCCAAGGCCAGGCGACTTGCCACAGCCCTTCACGTGAAGGGCAGAGCTTTGAGGGGCTGTTTGGGCAGGGCTTCTGGGTCTTGAACAAGTTGTTCCAAAAAGCTTGGAAACTATGTAAGCAGCAGGCAAACGGGGGGGATGCTTCTCAGCGTGTGTCAAGAAGTAAGAGAACAACACCAGCGGCTCTATTCTCCTTATCGTGAAATAGATTCAGGGCTTACAAGTGTTCCACTTAGGCGTGTAGCGGCGCAGGTTTCCCAAGCAAAGGAAAGATGCCGCCACATGAAAATCGTTTCCAGAAGTGTTTGCCTCAACAGGCAGACCTGTGGGGCACCCCAAGGAGTCAATCAACCTATCAATGACCGTCAATGACGCCATTCTTTGATGGACGTGTTGGCTGGACCGCGTGGAAGGCGCTGTATTTTCAAGAACGCACTTCGAGTTGTTTTCAGGGGGAGCACAATAGTGCATCTACATCGACTTCTCACCCCCCATTCCATCTCCAAGTTCGAGATTTGAACCCGGAAGGTTGAAGCAGCCGTGGAATGGTTTGATGCCAAAAAAGTTCAGCGCAAACGTTGCTGTGTTTGCAAGCCGTTCAAGAAATCAATGCAAAAAAACGCGCAGGCTCAGCCATCCGCTGCAGTTGGCGCCGCCCCGAGTAGATCCCAACAACGCAGACATGTTGAGGATGTGTTTCAATTGAAAATATTCGGGTGACAGTAAAAAAGGCGGTCAGGGCAAAGACAAAGGAAAGAGAAAGTTGGACTGGTGTGTCATGGAGTCGGAATGAAGGAAGCTGGTGTTCACATCCTGAAGACGCCGCAAATCGAGAAGAAGCTGACCCAAGCTGCAACCTTCGGGCGTGACAACAAGTCAAAGTTATTTGGCCGCCAAGTTCGTGGCGGACTTCAGTCAGGGCGAACCCAACTGACGCGATCCTGGACAATGGATGCGCAAGGTCTATAAAAAGGTGGCGCGCGGCATCATGCGGCCCAGCAATTTAGCCAGGCAACCGACTGCATGAAGAACCTCGTGTTCTACAAGCTCACCCCCGTGACACGAAGTTCGCCTTTGCCAACAGAGAGCCAGCCAAGGTAAACTAGACCTTGCGCCTCATCCATCACGCATGCTCCAGCCAGAACCAGCAACGACATCTTGGAGCAGGGAGCCGCACGACGATTCAATGTTCGAAGATTTTCCACAAGTCGACAAGACCAATCGTGAAGCGCTTGGAGTGTATCGTCAACCAATTCCGGTACCCAGCGCCGGACATGCACTTGTCCAAGCTCGCAGATGTGGAAAAACACAGAAGAGTTTGATGATGATGATGATGATGAGGGTGATGATAATGATGATGGTGATGGTGACGATGATTACGGTGGTGGTGCAAGTGTCAGATATACTCCATCGCTATCACCAGTGCCTGAGATTGAAGCCTCAGCGAGGATCATTGCTGGGTGAGAAGACCAAGCAACTGCGCGTTACACCGGGAACGTAGGACGCAGAACATCAAGAGACACGAGTTCGTGCGGTATGCGAGGTATGCCAAGCAGCGAAAACTGCACCTTCAGGTAGGCAAGAGGGGCTCGCAAAGACTGTACGTTTGGGTTGAGGGGCCCCCGAGAAGCTAGACAAACGGAGCACGTGCAGATACCTTCACAGATGTGACTTTTATCCATCGATCATTGCCAAGTGCCACTGGGAACAGTAGTGAACAACCGAGAACACCTTCATGACAGAGGCATGGGAACGCCTAATTTTATCAGTCCTTGAACATCACACCGATCTGACTTAGACCAAACACACCAAACCGAGCAGAAACTGTGGTGGGCAGCAAGTGGTCGAAATCAGACCGTCGCATTCCTCAAAACTCTGGGTGATGCGAGCGGCCCTCAGGGTCTTTGGCATCCACGTTGCCGCTGTCTCCTTGTTGAAAATCGGCTACTTACATTCCAGCTGCCTCAACGCAATGGGTTTCATTCATTTTGTGGCATGGCCTGACAAAAGGGCTGCTTCACCTTCTTGCCTTATCTTGACAACCTGAGTCTTTGACTTAGTGGCGGGCGCAACGAATCTTGGAGATCCTTCTGCGGTCTTGGTGCGTGGTTGAAGGGCAAGGCAGTTTCCTTAGAAGGCTGGACTGGACCTTGGAACGCGCCTCTTGAAGGTGAACACCAAGGTGGTGAGACGGTTCTGCCTGAGAACCGACCGCCCCTTCGAAAAAGCCTTCAACTCTTGAGCAAAGCACCGCCGCAGTCTGTAGATTCAGTTTGTTGAAGACTTTTCGCCGCGTGCTGGAACTGTGGGGAAAGGGGAGATCCATGTTCTCGAGGTCTTCGCATGTCAGAAATGCCACATCTGGGCACGCAGATCAAGGAACATTATCCTCACGGCGCTCACCACTGCCTGCCCGGACCAGGGCGCCGATATTTGCCAACAGCTTCGGCGTTGATTTCGCAGCTTCGATCGCAAGAGTTGAACTGAAGCGCAGGAGTTTGAAGCCGACAAGCCTGCTTCACAACTTACCAAAGGAAGTCACGCAACCAATCTTCAGGAGATGCCGGAGTTACTCAAAAAAGATCAAGAGTTCGCAGCAACAGCTTTGAGGAGGCAGGGCCAAACTTTCACAAGTGTGCCCTACAAACTCTGTCTGTCAAGACATGGCGCACGTTCTAACGCGCCACCTCACGGTCAAACCTCTTGATCAAGAAGTCTGCCTTCTAGATAATAGCCTGGAACCGTTTTCCGACAATCTATGTGACGCACTCAGGATCAGTTGTAGCACTACAGTCAAGACACAAGATCTTCCACTCAACCACGAAGTTCAACTCCTGGCTATTCGCGGCCAACTTGCAAAGAGCAGTGGCGCGATGAGCGCCGCTCGCAGAGATCTACCCTGTTCACACAGAACCCGAACAGCATCAGATGGCTGAACATGTGGACTGGTTGCAGGAGATTGCGCTATCTTTGCGCACCATCAACCCATTCGGGAATTCTGCGGCATAATTAATGGGTCGCAGCACGCCGCTCACATCACGCCTGACGATTAAGGTGGACGAGGTTGCGACTCGGAAGCGTTGGACGCCAGATGTCTCCAGTGTGAAGCGCGCGCACCAACCGCCGCAAAGACGCACAATCCAAACAATGCGCGCTTGGCAGGCAGTCTCTGCGGCCGACTCGGACCGTACTTTGCAAGATTCACGCTCGCTTGCGCCCGTAGTCCAACGCGGGCAACTTTCGCTGCCGACAAGGACTGTGGGTACAAGACCCCTGCTGAGTTTGTTGGCCAACGTCGGCCTTTATGGCAGTCAACTCGCTGGTAGATTTGAAACAAGTGCCAAACACGAGCACATGTCGGCAGAATGTCGGCCTCTTGAAC